CCTCTCCCCTTGTCCGGCCGAAAGCCCAAACGCAACTTTCTCAACAGTCTGCCGCGCTCCTTGCAAGTCTGTATAACCAGCCCAGCCACCCCCCCTATCTCTGTGCCAGAGAGAAGATTTCGCAGCAGCAGGCGGGCGACGGCGGGCACACCGTCTGTGGCGCGAGAGAGACGCCCGCCCGGTGTCCGCGCGGCCCCTCGCGGGTGCGAGCGAGACGGAGCGCGCGCCCCAACTCATCCCCCCCTCCCCCGTATAACTCGCGACGGAGATGTGTAAACGCAAACACCAAACTTGTTACAGCAGAGTGGCTTACGACAGTTTTCTACTTGGCGATGCACACTGGCTGCTCTGTCTCTCTCGCACGGTTGGCTCCTCCTCCTCCTCCTCCTCCTCTCTCTCCGCGAACAACCCCACTCTCTCACTGTCACTCTCTCTTACTCTTCAAATGAGTTGGGAAGAGCACAAGCTTGCGAAGAAGAAGGAGGGCTCTCCAAGCGCTTTTGGCGCGAAAAGCCTGCTTGCTGGATTCAGAAGCAGGGAGAGGAGGGAGGGAGAGAGGGAGGGGGGGGGGATTGGGAGGGGAGGGTGTTGAGAGAATGAGAGGCCCCGCGGCGCGACAGACGGGCACATAAGTGGGCAGCGAGACAAGTCGCCGACAGACGGCGGCCGACGCCGTCCTCGAGGAAGGCCGCGACAAACAAGTGCGCGCGCGCGACCCTCTGCGACGGGAGCCTTTCCCCCTTCAGGAGACACAACAACTCACGCGGTGACGTCAGAGGGCGTACTGTACTTTGCGTCGCTCTCAAGTTGTCGCACGACTCTCTTTAGCAGGCCCGGCGCCGCGACGAAACAGGAAGTAATGCCACGTTGATTAAGTAGTGAGAAGGCGCCGGATTCATTTTGACTGCAAAATTATTAAAACTGAAAAAATGTGGGCCCTACCCACCCCGCTTTGACACGGGGACCCGCCTGCTTAACTTCGGAGTTCGGGATGGGATCCGGTGTTTTCAGGCACCCAGCTGAGGGCCAGGTTTCTTGACTATCTCGCTCACACCGGAGTTTACAGCCATCGACTAGGTTCCCACCAGTCCGCTTGACCGGGAATGGGGGGTAGGGCGGAGGGAGTTAGAAAGAGAGGAGACGGGCGTACGGTGGTTAGCCTGTACTGCACCCAGATGCTATCCGAGCGGAAAGCTTCCGAGTCGTGGAATCCCTTCAATGAGCCAGATTCTAAGGACTTATCAATTCCACACGGGTTACCACTCCCGCTGTGGCTGGGATGGCTCTTACCCGGCACGCTTTCGCCGAGGGTCGAACCTTTGCCCCTAATGGGACCCCAGTGCCGAGTCATCGTCACCCCCGGGCCAGTGGGACAGCGTTAACCACCAGACCGTTCGTTCATCCACGTAGGTGCCCCGTTGAAATGACGGGTTTAAGTTCAACTCCAAGAGTTCGAACGGTTCAGAAAAATGTAGCTAGGATCGGAGATTCGAACCTCTGACGTGCGGCGCACGGGGCCGACTCTCTACCGGCTCGGCTACGACGCCACAGTGCGAGCGACCGGACGAGCTAGGCTCAAGGCACGAGTCAGCGCAGTAGCTTGAGCGGGAGAAGAACCGGTTCCATCACCACACCCTCTCACCTGACGCTTCGAGTCCGGCCTCCTGGCTCTTTGACATCGCTGCAATGTTTGAACTGTGAATCGGGGGTTCTAATACTCGTCCTCGAAGTAGTAATTTTTGGGTTTAAATTTTTTTGGTTAACTCATGCCGTCCGAGAGATAACTGTCGTCGTCGTCGGCCTTTGGAACTTTTAGGGAAATCTCGGAGCGGGGTGAGGTGGGCCCTCTGAGCCGGCGGCGTTCGCTTGTCGTTGCCCCAGGTACGGGGGCAGCGGGTCACCCGCGCATCTACCACGCACCCCCTGAGGCCCCCCCCCCCTCCCCTCTCCCCGACCTGGGCCGTGGCTCCTCTCCTCTTTAGTGCGCCGGTGGTTAGTGCCAGCGCGAGGAGGACAACTTTGCAGCTCAGCGCGGCCGGGGCCGCCGGGGCGCGGGGTGCTGCTGGCATGTGCGAGAGCAGGGGGGGTTGCGCAGCCAGACACCCCCGACACCAAAAGGCACACAAGGGGGGCCCGGGTGGCGAGATCTTCTTACCCCAGACGCCCCATGACGCGCACACGGGCAGCAGCCGCCTGGAGTTCCCCGCGGCCGCGGAAAAACAGCGGAGCAACACCCTCCC